TGAGCGTTACATGCGGCCTCTTCTGGCACGTCATGTCTGAGCAGGAGCTTGAGAGAAGAAAAGGAGAGGAGAGAGCTGACGTTTTCCGGGCATCTTCCTTGTGCTAATGCTGTGTCACGTCAGCTCACTGAGATCTCCAATTCAGACGCCCGCTGGACATGGGACACTTGCTCCAAACTCTACTCCCCAGGCCACCCCAGCCCCTGCTCTCAGCTCCATCCTTCCAGTTGCTCTGGCCCAAACCCACAGAGTCCTGCTCGGCTCCTGCCTCACAGCCCACAGACATTCCCTGGGCTCCTCTTGCAGATTCCTCCAGAACCCCACCACTTCCCACCCCCACTGCTCCCAGGCTGGCCCCTGACACCTCTGTCTCTCTCTGGGCCTCTGAGTAGCCTCCTGCCCACACATTCTGTTCTCCACACCGCAGCCAGAGGGAGCCCTTTAAAATCTAAGAGGGATCACATCACTCATCTGCTTGAACTGCCCGAGTCCCGAGGGGCCCCAGCGCGATCTGCTCTGCTTGGTGCTCCCCTCTGGCCTCCTTTTCAGCCACACAGACACTCCTCTCCTGTTCTCACTTCTGCCTCAGGACCTTTACTCCTGCTGCTCCTTGCTGACCTGCTTCCCCAGATTCCACAGGACCAGCTTCCTCCCCACGCCTACTTGGGATTTTTCCAAGGAGACGTCACCTCCGCAGGGAGGCCTTGCTAACTGCCCTGTTTAACATCGCCACGCCCCATCCCTCCTTTGTGCTTTATTTCCTCCATTGCACGTGTCACCCTCTAACATCTTGTATTTTGTTTTATTGTCCGTGCTGCCCCTCCCCACGTTAGAACGTAAGTACTGTGAAGGCAGGAATGAACTGTCCGTTTTGTTCCCCAGTTTCTCAGGGTCAGTAACAGTTCCTGGCATGTAGTAGCTGTTCAATAAATAATTGTCAAATGGATGACCAGAGTCAAAGCAATGAGGGATTATATAACTTAATCGCCATCATGCAGCCTGCTAGTGGCAGCGCCAGAAGTTAAACCTGGGTTTGTCTGGCTTTTAATTCAGGGTGGGGGGTGGAGGGAACCTGAAGGAGGAAAGAGCACTCACAGCCTTGGCCCCAGGGAGGGGGCGGGAGGGGGGAGCATTCCAGTTGGGAGAAGAAAGGGGTGGTGTGTCTTGGAGTTTGCATGCTTGGCAACACCAGGAAATGGCTGCGTGATTCTGAGCAGTCAGTTCCCCTCTCTGAGCCTCCGCATCCCCACGGGCCAGCGAGGGGTTGGAATGGTGGATCGGTAGGTAAGTGCCTTCTGCTGAGGTTCTGGGCTCCAGCCCTTTCTCTCTGGGTGCACAATGCCTCTGGGCAAGCAGCAGTTCCCTCCTGGCCTGACTCCTTCCTCCAGTGCCATCCGCCTCTCTGATACCAGCAGGAAGTTCTGGGCGGGCTGGTGTGTGCCCAGGAAGAAGTGACAGGAGGTAGGCTGAGAACTTCTTGTGCTTATCTGGGCAGGGGGGCAGTAAGGGAGGCCTGCTGAGTGGTCCACTGCCCACCCCCGGCTCCGGCGAGGGCTGCGCTTTCCCCCACCCCCACACCACCCCAACCAGGCCCGCATCCCTGGGCGCCCATCTCCCTCTTCCCCTGGCACCAGTTGCACGGGGACAGCCCCAGATGGCTCTCTGGCCTGGGGACAAAGGCCACACTGTGCCCAGCCCTGGGCTGGCCTCAGGCTGGGTCACACTGAGCCCTTCTGTCCCCCTATGAGGGTGGGGGCAGACGGCACAAGGTGACAGGCCATTTTCCCGTCTCCCTTCCCCCTCGACCCCCTAATCTGAGGAGCTGACTCTCCCAAGGGAAAAGCGACAGAGGCATCTTGTGTCTTGAGCTATGGAACAACAGACCATTCACTGCCCAGTCTGCCCTGTCACACCCAAGACCCTGCTGGGTTCAATGCCCCGATTGTCCCCAGCAGAGAGAGGCAGCTACTCTCTGCTGTGGTCACCACCCCTGCCACCTGCTCCCCTGTCACCATCCGGAAGTCCATCCCTATGTCTGACCTCCACCGCTCCTACAACAGTGACAGCCACTTCCTTTTGGTCTCTTCTCAGGCCAGTGAAGAACAGCTGGTCCCCATCCCTCTGCATTGCCTGGCCCCACATTCCTGCTTGAGTCAGCTGTCCCCTGTCTCACCCTCCTTCTTGCTCCCTGTCCCACCATCCCTGCCCCAACCTGAGCTGGTGGCTCCTTGCTTCTAACTGAACATGAGGAGAGCAGGTACGATGCAGGGCTAGGTCTCCTTAATCTCGTAGAAATAGGGGGCCTCCCTCCCAGAGGCCTTTTAATGAGCCCCCCTGCTGCTCCTACACAGGCCAGGGCAAGGGCATGAGATGAGCGGTGGCTACTGGTGGATTCCTGAGCTGCAGGCTCATCATTCAATTAATCTCAGACCGGCAGGATGGCTTTATGGGGGTTCCCTGTTTTTAGAAGGTGGTATGACTGGCCTCTCTTAAGTAGAGCTCAGGCCTCAGGGAGCCAACGGCCTGACTCTGCCCATCCGCATGGATAATGATTGATCCTGTGGTGTCAGTTTGTGCTGGGCAGACACTTCCTTTCCTTCCTGGGGGTTCTCCTGCACCGCCCCAGCTCCAAGGGGCCCCCTCTCAGCCAGCCTGGCAGCCCAGAAGCCTGGTCGGATTACTGTCCCTTACCTGGACCTCAGATGCTTCCCCACCATGGCTCCACGTCCACATCATTGAGGAAGCTTTTTAGTGTTGGTTTTGGTTTGTTTTTTAATCCTCTCCCAAGGACATACATATTGAGCGTATTGATTTTAGAGAGATGGGGAGGGAGGGAGAGAAACATCCATGTGAGAGAGAAACAAACCTGCAACCTAGGCGTATTCCCTGACCAGGAATCAAACCCACGACCTTCTGGATGACCGGACGATGCCCCAACCAACTGAGCCACAGTGGCCAGGGCTTCATTTTCCTGGTTGCCACCCTCAGAGCCTCAGTTCAGAATCTGAGGGTGAGACCCAGGAATCGGAATCTTTTATAGAACTCCCTGGCAAGGCTGATGTTCAGCCAGCATTGTAAACAATTAATTGATCCATGTAATGGGGACACCTCCATTCTCCTGCCATGCTGGGAAGTGTGAATCGACAGGAGGGGTGTGTCTGGGTCCTCCTGTCACTGGAACTCATGTGACCCCTCTGTTATGAGTCCCCCTGGGTTGGCTGCACACAGAGCACGAGGTGGGTGGCAGGCCCGAGACGTTGCACAGAGGCACGGAGGAGGGGCTGAGGTGGCTGCAGGAATGAGCTTCGGGATGGGGCGTCGGGAAAGCCCACGGCCGGTGGGCTTTGCCAAGGAAGCTGGAAGGAGAGCTCTCAGCTACCTTCTCATCAGAGGAGGCCTCACTGGCCCTGGAATTCCTTGACTAGGAACCACACTTTACTCACTGCTGCAACCACAGTGCCTAACACAGTGCCTGGCCCGCAGTAGGTACTCGGCCCTCATTTGTGTAGTGAACTGAGTGAGACTTCAGGGCCCGCTGACAGAGGGAGGCCTAGCTGGCAGTGCAGACCCAGCGCCTGCATTCTGAGAGGCGCAGGCCTGAGGAAGGAAGCTGAGCCATGCCCGGTCTCAGGGCTCACGGGAGCTGGGGGGCCAAACTTAGGGGCACTGGGGACAGCCAGGAGCATTCAGGATCGTTTCTGGCTGAGGAAAGAAGGATGGGTTCATTAAGCAAAGTAAACATGTTACTGACCCATAATCCCTTAAACCAGAGGATTCAGGAGGTGCCTGGTTGCCTTGGCAACTGGGTAGTGGCCAGTGACAGAGCTGAGAGCATCCTCCAGGAATAGGCTGTGCCTGGTGCGTGGGTAAAAGCTGGGAGAGGGTGCAGGGTGCTCCCCTCCTATCGCAGGACTGGCCCCGATGCCTTCTTGGCAGGTGAGGGTGGGGGCCCTTGTGGGACCTCTTGCTCCCAGCCCCACTGCAGCTGCGGGGGATGTGGGCAAGGGCAGGGTGGGGGGTGGCCACCGTGGGACCCTGTGAAGCTGCGGAGGGGAGGAGGGGCAGCCCCGCTCTGGGCTTCAGGGCAGGACAGGGAAGGAAGGGTCTGCGGGAAGCAGCAGCTGCACGTCTCGCCGGGAGGCCAGCAAGGCGTCCCCTCGTCTGAGGGGCTGCAGGGAGAGAACCTGTTTTGGCTGGGGAAGGGCCCTGAGCGTGAGCAGAGTGGCCTGCCCCTCTCCCACTGTGTTCTCTCCTTGAGGTCCCTCTGTTTCCGGCTAACTCCTGGGTTTCCCCTGAGACCTTCAGCGCTTCTGACCACCCACGTTTCAGCTGGAGAGACGAGGCTGGGCCAGCTCAGATGCACACACCTCCTCGCTTGCCTTTTTCCTCTCTTTTCTGTGTCCTGAGGACCCAGGACAGGCCAGAGCGGGACCTGCAGGTGTTGGTAGTAGGGTGAAATGGGGTTTGGGCCACTCTCTGTCCCCAGGTATAGGCCAGGCTGATGCTTAGCTTCTAGGCATCAATCAATGAGGCTTACTGGCTGCTGGCATGTTCAAGCTCGTACACACAACTTGGTAAAGAGCTGCTGGCCAGAGACCACCTGGTTCTGGGGCCTTCCCCACCATGCAGGCTTCCTTCCAGAACTCTCTAGACCTCTGGCAACTAAAAGGTCACCTACCTTCTGGCCCTGGGGAGGCTTCCAGGATCCCCACGGCACATGATGCTGCTATTATGAGCAGTACTTTGTGGTTTTGACTGATCCACAGTGTGAACATTTCCCAGGGGCAGGGAATCCTGGGAGGATTCACGGGGAGGGAGAGGGTCGGGACTTCTCCAGGAGCTTGAACTTGGATGGAGAGGACCCAGCCTGGCTCCCCAGTGCAGTGCGACAGAGCTTGATGGGAAGATAAAGACCAAGATCTGGAATTCACTTCTGGGGTCGGCTGGCCCCCATGTTGCCTTGTTCTCATGGCTGGCTCTTCTCACTTGTCCCTTCTCAGGACCTGCTGCCTGGTCCCTGCTGATCATGAATAAGATGAAGAACTTTAAGCGCCGTTTCTCCCTGTCTGTGCCCCGCACCGAGACCATCGAGGAGTCCTTGACTGAGTTCACAGAGCAGTTCACCCAGCTCCACAACCAGCGCAATGAGGGTGAGGGGTCTGGGGCCTCCCTCCCCGGCACTCCCCCAAAGCCCCTCCTCGCCCTCCTCGCCTACACCTTCACTGCTGGCCCTGGGGGAGGATGAGGACAGAGGGAGGACATAGGCTCCTCTCCTCTCCCTGTCGGAGCAGAGAGGCAGGGCGGGGAGCTGACGCCTCTCCCCCTCAGACCTGCAGCTCGGTCCTCTCAGCAGAGACCCCCAGCCGGAGTCCAGCACCTTCTCCCCGACAGACAGTGGCGAGCAGCCCAGGCAGCCATCCCCAGGCCTGCAGTACCGGCGGCAGAACCAACGCCGCTTCTCCATGGAGGTGAGGGGCTCCGGGCTCTATCCTGTGCACGTGGCAGGACGCACCTACTAACTAATGTGTGCCCAGAAGGGCGGTGGCCTGGGAGCCATATTTCATGGGTTCAAATTCTACCTCTGCCATTGATTAGCTCTGTGGCCTTCAGCAAGTTTCTCAGCCTCTGTATACCAGTCTCCTTGTGTTAAAATGGTCATTGTGAGGATTAGACAGGTTAATATATGCCAAGTGCTTAGAACATTCCTGGTCCATAGCAAGGGCCAGACAACTTGACTGTTCTTATGACCCATATGCATGTACCCAAGTATATGAAAAATTATGCTTACAGAATCGTAGTGTCTGCAGGAATCTCAGCCTGCAGAGGGTGACTCTGGCCAGAAAGGGGAAGGGACCTCCAAAGCCCACACAGTACCCAGACCCCCAAGTGTTCATGTCTGAGCACATCCTTGAAGTAGCTGTGAGCCTGGGGTCATAGCCCATGGCTCAGCCCCACCGGGCTTGGTCTACAGGGAGAGGCAGGCTCAGGGTGAGAGGCAAGGGTCCTGCAGCAATACCCACCCTGGAGCAAACACTGGTGTCCCCATCTCATCCTGGCCACTGCAGGACATCAGTAAAAGGCTCTCTTTGCCCATGGACATCCGCCTGCCCCAGGAATTCCTGCAGAAGCTACAGCTGGAGAGCGCAGACCTGCCCAAACCGCTCAGTCGCATGTCCCGCCGAGCATCCCTGGTGAGTCCCAGTATGGGCACACGCACCAGTTCCGGTTTGGCCTGTTCCGGCTGGGGCCTGCCGCAGGGTCGGAGGAGGTTCCCGAGCCTCTGGCGCCACCTGCTGGCCACAGCAGATCCATAGAGACCCTAGGTCAACATTCACTCCATAGGTGGATCCCGCCTGGGCTGGAGCTGACCCCTAAGCCTGTCTGGGCCCCGGTCTCTCCACTGGGGTGAGATCAGTACACCAGCTGGTACATGCTTCCCAGCCCTGGCTGCTTATCAGATTTCCTTGGGAGCATGTTCCAAAGCAGACTCTGGTCCCCACTCCACATACCCACAGTGTCAGACTATCTGGGGGCGGGACCCCAGGAATCCGTATTGCTAAGGGTTGGGTATCACTGAGCTAGAGGAAGTGTGCTGATGAGAGGTATTGGGATGGTGGCTTCTGAACCGGACATTCGAAGTGCAGCAGAGAAAAAGGCAGTTCCTGGAGCTAGTAGTCTGAGCAAGACAGAGACAAGCTGATGAAGGTATGCTGAGGCCGCCGCAGGCGCCCCAGCCCTGGGCTCCACACCCGCCGCTGCCAGGGGACAAAGGCACGCCCACCTGCCAGGGCTTCTTCCTCTGTCACAGGGACAGAGGTGGGGGAGGAGGGGAAGGACTTGTGGCCGTCCTCGCCTCTGCAAGCCTCAGTTGTTTTCTCTTTTGGACGGGGCCTCAGTACCTTTCCTCCGGGAAGCTGGAGCAGGGGAGGTGTGGTCTCGGGGCTCCCAGGGCCTCAAGCTCACAGGACCCTATGTCTCTTCCCCTCAGTCAGACATCGGCTTTGGGAAACTGGAAACGTATGTGAAACTGGACAAACTGGGGGAGGTAAGAGGCTGGGTTTGGTCCTCTCAGAGCAGCCAGGCAGGATGGCTGGGAGGAGGGACAGGTGTCCCCCGGCCCTCCCTGACTTGCCCTCTCCCTGCACCTGCCCCACAGGGGCACACGGTCCTAGCTGGGCAGTCAGGCTCAGCCTTTGGCAGGTGCCGAGGTGGGCCCAGGTCCTGGGGGAGGGCGTGGTGATGGAGTTGCCTGTGGGTTCTGGGCAGGATCGAGTCTTTTTTCCCTGCAAGTATTTCTTGTCTGGGCTCAAATCCCAACTCTCCCGACTACCAGCGTAGTGACCATGGGCGCGTTATGTGACCTCTCTGTGCCTCACTTTTTTCCTTTGTCAAATGGAAATCATAACTGTTCTACCTTATAGGGTTGTTGTGAGGATTGAAGAGGTTACTCTAATAAGCTTTTGTACAGCAAACACGTAGTGCCCGGCATGTCATTCAGCACAGTTAGCTATCTCTGTTGTCACTGCACCAGGCTTTATGTTGGAGGCCGGGGGTGGGCAGACGTTTACAGAGAGAAGGAAGATGGCCCTTTTGCTGCAGAAAGCGAGAGAGACCTACACATAAACACCAACCTCAGGAAAAAAACACTGGCGTTATAATAGAGGGGCACCTGGCCTGGGAGAGGTTAGGGACAGCTTCCCAGAGAAGGGAAGGAAGAAGAAGGGGGAGGGGCCCTCCGACCGAAGTCACAGCCCCAGCAGAGGCACCCAGAGGGGCGCGTTGGGCAGAGGAGAGCCGGACCTGGCTGTTGCTGGGGCTACTGGACTGCTTTTTCCCAGGGCACCTACGCCACAGTCTTCAAAGGGCGCAGCAAACTGACGGAGAACCTTGTGGCCCTAAAGGAGATCCGGCTGGAGCATGAGGAGGGGGCACCCTGCACAGCCATCCGCGAGGGTACAGCACCCTAGCATCGTGAACTCCTGAGCACTCCGGGGAGGGGGGTCCATTGGCCTGAGCCCTGGTGGGAGCCCGGGGGTGGAGGGTCATTGCAGGGGTGGGGACTCATGGGACCGATCTCAGGAAGAGGGGGTATGAGGGGCATGTGGGGCCCCAGGGACCCAGGTGAGCCTGTCTCCCCACAGTGTCTCTACTGAAGAACCTGAAGCATGCCAATATCGTCACCCTGCATGACCTTATCCATACAGAGCGGTCCCTCACCCTGGTGTTTGAGTACCTGGTAGGTTGGGACCTTCTTCCCCTTGTGGTGGTGGTGATGAGGGCGGCGGAGAGTGGGGGGTGACAGAGGTGGGGGGTGCCCCCGGCCTTGTTCTAAAATCAGGTTCTCAGGTATTCCCAGGCAGGAGGGGGCCCAGGCCCTGGCCTGGGGGCAGCTTGGCGTCAGGGACCTGTCCCACTCCCAGGCTTGGGTGGGCCTTAACCAGGGAGGGGCTCCCAGCCCGGGGTCAGGGCGGGGCAGGGTTGAGCCCGGCTCTGTGTTCCAGGACAGCGATCTGAAGCAGTATCTGGACCACTGTGGAAACCTCATGAGCATGCACAACGTCAAGGTGAGGGACCCCACACATTCAGGCTCCGTCCATCTTGACACCCACCTGTTCTCAAGCCCAGCTTGGGAACTCACTCACCACCAGGGACTGGGCTGCTGAGGTTGCTTAGACCTTCAACTGTAGGACAGAGGGAAGGGGCAGCGCCGTTCAGAGAGGACTGGGAACCGTGCTGAGCGCCTGGCCCCGCCACACAGACACGCACCCTCTGCCACCAGCTAGCCATTGCTACAGTATAACCCCCCAACTCCGAGCATCAGTTTCCCATCTGTCCGATGAGAGCCTGAGTTATCTGCCAGGATGAGGGAGGCTTCTGGGTAAGCTCAGGAGGATGAATGGTCTCTGGTGTTTGTCAGCAAATCAAGCACGTGCACCGCCACATGGTGGGCTTCCTGGCCCTTTGTGGCCCCTCAGCTCCCAGTTAGAGAACTGTCTGGTCTCCCCGATCCTTCCCACTTCCTCCGCACACCTGGTGCCCTCCCCTCTGGAGGATTCCCTGGGATGCGTGGGGCTGAGGATGGGGCTGCAGTGTGGGCAAGAGAACCAGGTAGCCCTCCAGGTACCTCACCCCTGCCCAGTCCCTGCCCCCTTCCCCGTCCCCGCCTGAGTCCTAGCCATGGGGCAGAGGTGCAGGGTCTCCCGGGGCGGACACATTCCCACCTTTCACTGCTCCCCCTTTTCTTGCCTCCTGCCTCAGATTTTCATGTTCCAGCTGCTCCGGGGCCTTGCCTACTGCCACCGCCGCAAGATCCTGCACCGGGACCTGAAGCCCCAGAACCTGCTCATCAACGAGAGGGGGGAGCTGAAGCTGGCTGACTTCGGTGAGGACTGGAGCCCCCAGGGCCGGGCGGGGTCGGACAGTCTCCTCTGAAAGTGAGTGCCACGTCAGGGAGAGGTTCAATGACCTGTCTATCCCCAGGATTGGCCCGGGCCAAGTCAGTGCCCACGAAGACCTACTCCAACGAGGTGGTGACGCTGTGGTATAGGCCCCCTGACGTGCTGCTGGGGTCCACAGAGTATTCCACCCCCATTGATATGTGGTGAGTGAATGTCACGGGACCTGGGGTGGGGGGACCTCCAACACCTCCAGACTCCCCTTTGCTGCCCCAAGTTCGTCCATGAAGGAGCGCCTAGCCTCCTTAGAAGCCATGTGGCATCCTGTTGAACTGGATGTTAAAGGATGAAGTCTGAACCGCATCGTGTTTCCTGTCTCCAAATAGACCCTCCAAGCCACATGCTTCTGAAACATCCCCCCAGGGCCCCCAGGGGTCACGGGAGGGTACAGGAGGCCCCTGCAGTGCACGCGCTGACTCTTCCCCAAGCGTCGGTTCCACTGACAATTTTGGAAAGAGTATATTATTCTTAAAATTAATGTGGATATTTTTTGTTGTAGGATGAATTTTAAAACTAAAACACAGGTTTCCAATGAATGGCCCTGGGCCCTGGGCCCTGGGCCCTGGGGTTCTTTAGGAGAACAGATTTCTGACCTCTCTCCTTCAGTGGGAACGCACAACATGGAAAAAGTTTGAAAATACTGCTTAAAGAACTCACAGAGTGAAAGGGGGCCAGAGTCTCCTCGAGCCCAGACACACCCCCAGAGAGGGGCTGTAGTGGGGGCCTGGGCTGTCCTGGGCCACCCGCCCCAGTGCCAAGACCTGTCTGAGCCACTGTGGGGCAGGGCATCGCAGAGGAGCAGCTTCAGAAGGGTGGGCGCGAGGAGGCCCAGCCTGACACGACCCTGCCCATTGCTCCCCGCAGGGGCGTGGGCTGCATTCACTACGAGATGGCCACGGGGAGGCCCCTCTTCCCTGGTTCCACAGTCAAGGAAGAGCTGCACCTCATCTTTCGACTCCTCGGTCAGTCTCCTGCGCTCCCCCAGCATGGCCACCGGGGGCATCAGAGCTCTGTCTGGCCCTGGCGCATAAAGGGACTGGGAAGAGCGGCCTCGCCTGTGGCCTTGGCCATTTCCTGCCCCCACCCCTACACTGCACGCCTCCAAGTTGCCGTTGGCCCAGGCTCCTTACCATGCCTCCCCACCCCCTTTTGTCTCCCCAGGGACCCCTGTAGAAGAGACGTGGCCCGGAGTGATGTCCCTGTCTGAGTTCCGCACCTATAACTTCCCCCGGTACCTCCCGCAGCCGCTCATCAGCCATGCTCCCAGGTAGCCCTGCCTCCCCCACACCTCTCTTGCTTGTGGCCCTGGCTGTCCCATCTGGAGGTGGCCACACACCCCACCCTCCCCACCCACCCAGGCCAGGCCTATGCCAGCTCCTTCCTCCTGCAGGTTGGACTCTGATGGCATCAACCTCCTGACCAGCTTTCTCCTGGTGAGTGTGCCCTCAGCTGGGTCCAGGAGCAGGCAGCCAAAGACCGCTGGAGCCCCGAGCCCCAGCTCGGGCCCTCTGTCCACCTCTGTGCTCAGTGCGCAGGAGTTGGAACTGTCCCCCACCCCTGCCTCCACCCCTCCACCCCTGCCTCCACCCAGGCCCAAGAGGAACACCAGTTTCCCCACTGACTTGACGTGGGTGCACTCTGAATTCAAACCGCAGTGCAAACCCACTTACTAGCTATATAGCTTGGGCAAGGCACAGAAGTTTTCTGTGCTTCAGTTTCCTCAATGGCAAAATGGAATTAATCATCCATATTTTATAAGATGGCAGTCAGGCTAAATTGAGATTATGGAACACACTTAATACAGGGCATGTCATGAAGTAAGCACACAATAGAGGATCTTTCGGTATTCCATATTGATGTTACTATTATTAATGGTATGATCGTGGTTGCTTTAGCATCCGCATCTCTATCCCGAGAGGAGGTCACTCTCCCGATGCCCCATTTCTGATTTTCTCCCGGTGGGAGCCCTGGGTTGGGTTGGAGGTGGGAGCCGGCACAGTTTGAGACTCAGCTGAGACTCAGGCCCCTCCCCGTTTGGCCACCTAACTTACCATAGAAGTCGCACTTCCCAAAGGGGTCCCTGCAGCCCCCCAGCCAGGACCCAATAGACCCCTGTGCTTTTCAGTATGAATCGAAGAGTCGCATATCAGCAGAGGCAGCCCTGAACCACCCCTACTTCCGGTCTCTGGGAGAGCAGGTGCACCAGCTCGAAGACAGTGAGTATCAGGGGGAGTTGGCGGGAGGTGGCAGGGCCACCCCAGAACCAGGAAAAGTGGCAGCAGGTGTGAGCAGAAGAACTGTAGCAAAAAGGCCAGAGGCCCTCGGTCCAGCTGGGCATCCTTAGGCACATGGCTTCCCCTCCTTGGGTTCTCATTTGTGAGTAAAGGGCCAAACTGTGGCTCTGAGTTTCTGCCTGAAAGGCCCAGTTAGATGCTCCTGGCCAGTTCTGACTGAAGGGGTTCCCCAGCTGGGTGGGGGGGCCCCAGTTCCATGCATTCGATGGGTGTGGGGGCCACAGGCTCAAGGAGCAGGGCAGGCCCCACTCAGTTCTCTCCCTGCCTTCCTCCTCTCTCATTCCAGCTGCCTCCATCTTCTCCCTGAAGGAGATCCAACTCCAAAAGGACCCAGGCTACCGGGGCCTGGGCTTTCAGCAGCCAGGTAGGGCCTTGTGCCTCCCCTGCTGCCCCTTATTAGAGGAGACCAGGACAGGCTGCTCCTCCCTCTCAAGGAACAGAGATGGGGCCCAGCAGCCCCTCTTGTGATGGGAAATCAGCACGGCCTCCCTTCCGGGGGCCCACGGGGAGCAGGGAAAGGATGGGTTTCCCTATCTGTGGCCCAGGCTTCCTTCTCTAGGGCCTCCCTCCTCAACCCCCACCCTAGACAGAACTGGGCTGCATCTGACAGAGCCCTGATGAAGGTACATGCTCTCTCTGGTGTGTTCTCTCTGCAAGTTCTGAGCTAAGTAGCCTCCACCCTGGAGAACTGTACTTTGTCTCTAAACTAGCTGATGGCCTTAAAAGTGACAGGCACTTTACATGCATTATCTCATTTAATCCTTAAAACACCCCTTGAAGTTGGTACTCCTGATGCTGTGCTCCCCAGTCACTGAAACTGAGGCCGTAAGCAATTTAGACACAATTTCATGCAGCTCCTGAGTAGCCAAGATAGGATTTGAACCCAGGACTGACGGGCCCCCAAGCCTGTGCTCCTGTCGCTCTCTCCGCAGTTCTGGGCCACTCCCTTCCCGGCCCAGCCTGCTCCCTGCAGTGCCCCTCTTCCTGTCTTTCTCCAGGACGAGGGAAGAATCGGCGACAGAGCATCTTCTGAGCTTGCCTACCCTACCGCGCCTTGAGGGAGTGAGAGGTCGCACTGAGCACAACCGCAGGCAGGATGGGGCTTAGGCAGCCCTCAGAGGACTGAGGGACGAGGGCCAAGGCCGGCCCAGAAGCCCTCTGCAGCTCTGCTGGCCACAGCTGGGCCCCGACCCTGCTTCCCACATGTCTCCCCAGTGGCCTTTACCTGGACACCAACCCCTCCAGCACCTGCCCTGGGAGGAGGTGAGGGGGCAGGGAGGGAGGGACCTTGGACACTTCCCCACCTCGAAGTCCTTGGGCATCCGCATGGGAACCACAGGGACAGGAGAATCCAGCTGCCGGGCTGAGCACTGTGCCCTGGACATGGGCACCACCGTGGCTCCCCAAGAGGCCTGCCTGTCTCACCAGCTTGGTGGAGCCCCTTACGGGCCCCTTGGAGCCTACGTATCTTTCACCCTCTTCCCCTCTGAGTGCAGGAAGTAACGTGGCACCTTTTTCAGGACCCTGGAATCCTGAGTGCCGGTGTGTGTGCCAAAGCTCACCCCCTCACCTGAGGGGCAGGTATCCCCGTAGCAACAGGGGAAATAGTAGCCTATCCCCACTTCCAGTCGTCACCCTGCCCCGTTCCCATCCCCCCGCTGCCCCGGTCCCCATATGCTGCCGGTGCCCAGCTGTGTCCCGGGGCGGCCTGGTAGGGCCAGCTGCACTCCCGCACCTCCGCTGGCCCCACGGTCTCCCCGGTCTGAATGGGATGGCCTAACGGTGGTAGGTGGTAGAATGCTCACTGCCCTTGGAGCTCTGACCCAGACTCCTACCTGTCCTCCCGTTCCCGAGAGAGGCTCCTGCGTATCACACCTGAGTGCTGATAAGCCAGCCCTGGGCTAGGGTCCTGAGGACAGCACCCAGCTCCTTGGGCCAGCACAGCCTCCCCTGCCCCCTCCTTCCCAGCCCATGTGGCCCTGTCCTTGCTCCACCCACTCCCGGCACCCGCTCCCCACAGAGTGGCCATGAGAAGGCAGGTGTAAATGCCGCAGTGAAGGAGAGGAAAGTGGGACGGGACAGGACAAGCTTGGACCCTGAGAGCCTGCCCCAGGGGGTGGGAGCATGAGGGGCCTTGGCCCCTGAAGAAGGCCCTGCTCAGCACCCCTTCGGAGCGCGCCTGGCGTCTCCCCAAGGGCCCCTCCGCACTTGGCTGAGTCTTGAGCAGCAAGGCCAAGCGGAGGCCAGGCCCTCCTTTCCCCATCAGCGCCTGCCCGGCCCAACCCCTCAGCCTGAGGAGCAGCCCTGGAGGGCCTCTGCCTCCCTACAGTCCCTCCACTTCTCATCCAGGGTACCGTGAATGTCCTGTGACTCAGCACAAAGACAAGTGACACATTTAATTCACGTACTGAAAGGAGCAGGCATTCTCATGCGGAAAAGCTGAATTTGACAGATTGATGCCAAAGATGGAGGCCTTCTCCCGGTCTCAGGAGTGCGGGTAGGGGGTGTGTGTGTGTGTGTGTGTGTGTGTGTGTGTGTGTGGAAAGTGGAGAGAGTTAGGTTTGTGTGTGTCTCTGAACCCACCTGGGTTGTAGGACCGGTGCCCTACGCCCTCCCTGCTGTATTTCAGATGCTGCTTCGTTTAGAACCAGAAGTCAACTGGGTGTCGTGGGTGGGCGCGGAGGAGGCCTGCGGGTGGCCTTGGCCCAGGCGGTGCCTGAGGACAGGACAGCCGGGAGAGTGAAGAGGGAGTCCAGGGAGGGGTCCGCCGCAGCCAGCCCTTGTTCTTCGCCAGCCGAGTGGCTCTCTGACGTCCGAGGAGGGAGGAAGATTCAAGAGGGTTGACGTGGGGAATGGCCAAGGCCAGGGCAGCAAAACTGGCACACACCTCATAGTAATGCCGGTCCAGCAGGAATTACTACTCACCTGGACTCCATCCCTGCTGCCCAGACTGCCTCTTACTTTGCGACTGCCCACAACTTCTTTTCATGCACGTCTTCCACAGTTCTCGGCACCCTGCTATGTCCCCAGCTCAGTGTCTAGGTCTATTCTCCGAGACCACTCGGAGAAGGTGAGGCTCCTAAACCACTCCTTCTGACCTCCCTGTTCAGTGAGCTCATACCTGGCCATAGGGACTTTCCAATTTGCTGTCTTGTTTGAGGGGGCCGCTGCTTTCTGGAGGAGGAAGCTAATGCTGAGAGGTTGGGTGATGTCTCCCAAGGCCCTGGAAGGAAGGAGTGGACAAGGGCTTGATTCTCCGCCCACCAGGTCACCAGCCTAGACTTCTTCACCCTTTCGTAGACATCCAGTGTCCAAACTGTAGGACAGTTCATGCTTTGGGAGAGGGCAGGGGCCAAGAAACACAATGGTGGGAATCAGAGTTGGGCCTTTTAAGCTGAGTTTGGGAGGAAACTAGATGGGCCCTAATGTTCACGAAGCGCCCTCCTGTGTACCAGTCAGTGGAAAGAAGCGTCTCCTGAACCTTACAATAGTCACACTTTTCCCCACTTTGCAGGTGAGAACAGTGAGGTTCCCAGTGTTAAAAGACTTATCTGGGGTCACGTAGCAAATTAGAGTCCCAGGTCTGTGCGCCACCCCAGCCCTTGGTCTTTAGGGAGGGGTAGGAGCGGAGGAGGGGGTGGTGTAGACAGTGTGGAGTCCCAGGAACCAAGGAAACCCAACAGGTAGGATTCGGGGCAGATGCTCCTTTGCTGGAGCACCTTGCAAGACCACCACTGAGTCATAGGCAGTGGCCACCCACCATTTCACAGGCCCTCCTGCCCCTTTAAGAGTCTTCCTTGGGGGGCAGATGATCTTGCTGCCTCAGCCTCAGGCCTTTGTTAAGACTCACGTGGGCTGGGGGACTTAAGAAGCACTCGAGCTTCTGCCTTAGAAAGCCCAGGGGGCTCAGCTGGACAAGCTCACACTCTACAGTTTGTGTTCAAAAGCCTTCAAAGGAAAAATGAAGGTTTCAGAGAGGGAAGCTGGATGGGCCCAGTGGCTGGTTATGACCGGCCAGGGCAGAAGAATTGCTAGGGTTGCCGGTGGGCTCTCCAGGGACCAGACTGCCACAACACAGGGCCTGTGGCCTGGAGCCCTCCATTTCCTGGGTACCCCCTGCCATCACGTCCTGCCTCCTAATGGCTCTCACAGACAGGAGCCTGCCCCATTCAGCCGGAGTCTGGGGCTAAAGCCCCGTATAGCGAGTCATCTCCCCTTCCGGCCTCACTTTTGCCATGTGCTCCTGGGATGGGTCCGGAATGGCCAGGGCCCCCAACTGGCCCTTCCCTTCACATGCCCACTGGCAGGGGGCCTGCAGTGCCTGAGGGAAGGTCTTATTTGCAAGGGAGGTGGTGACACCGGATCACATGCTGGGTCCTGACCCACATCAGCTCCCACACAGATGGGACCAGAGGCAGGCTCTCCCCAGCCCCTCCTTCCCCCGTTTCCATGGACTCCCAGTCACCCTGTCCCTGCGGTCTGGTCTGGGCCCTGTGATCAGGGTTGATGCCCAACCATTTCCTTTGTCCTGCTAGACTACCTGAGCCAAGAAAGTGTTGGACTCTATTGCCAGAACTCCCCCCTTCCTTCCTGAAGCAGCTCAGCCTCTTTGGCCCACCTTTGCCCAGACCCCTGCTTCCAGTCTCAACACTCCACAGTACCCCTGAGCCTCTGTCTCCAAAGCAAACGGTCAGCACCATGAATTGGTCACAGCCGGGACCTGTGCTGGGCATCAGGACACTAAGGTGTAGGACTCCACCTTCACCTTCCAGAAGCACAGAGCTGCTGGTGGGAATGGCCTTCTTACAGCAGATTTTTATCAAGCACCCACTGTGTGCCAGGCACTGGTGGGCACCAAGAATGGGGCAGTGAACAAGACCACCATGTCTTCGCTCTCACAGAGCTTAGAAAGACACTACCCAAATGAACATATGATCCATTGAGGGGTCAAGTGTGATGAACCAAATCAAGGGGAGATGTGATGACACGGGGTAAGGGGTTTCTCTGATAAGATCAGGGGGAGCCATGTGGTCCCCCAAGGACAAAGCGTGCCAGCAAAGGCCCCAAAGGGAGCATGCTTAAGGACGGACAAGCCAGGAGGCACAGAGACCTGAGTGCAGGCGTGGGCAGAGTGGCAGGCGGGCTGGCTCACGCCTCACTGGGCGTGGCGGTTCTGCCTGGGGGGCCCCCAGGCCCTCGGGGAGCACTGATGCCCGGCTCCAGCAAAGACCCGTTCACCCACATTTTCTGCTGATAGCACCAGGCATCGGTAGTTTTTAAAAAGCTCCCCAGATGCCCCCAAAGTGTGGCCAGGGTTGAGAATCACTCAGGCAGGGTCTTCTGGGAGTGTCCCTGAGTCACACCAAAACCCAGACAACAAGCATCCCACCTGGCCTCTTCCCACGGAGGAGGCCTGCAGCCTCTCCTCCCTGTCCGCCCCAAGCCTCGCGCCCTGGAAGCGTTCTCTCGATGCTGAGCATCAGTCCTCTCGCCTGGCCGCTGGCCCGTGTCCTAGGACGGCAACACACGGCCCGGGGGTGCTGAGGCGGTGGCTGCAGAGCATGGAGCGTTCGACCGGAATGTGGCAGATACGTGGCCCTGCCCTCCCGGGTTCAGCCAGCAGTCCTCCCTGCTCGAAGCTCCTAGCCCAGTTCCTCACCTTCCTGTCTCCTTCTGAGCGCCTTTCCTCTTTCACTCATTGTTCATCTGAGGAGTCCTGACTCCGCACTGGGCTGTTTCCTGTACCTGCGATACAAGCGTGACTCTGGCTTAGCCCCTGCCCATAGGGGCTCAGAACCTCAAAGTCGGTTAGGATGTGGTCTTTGCTTCCTCTCAGGAGGTCTCAGTTACCTGCGGGGAAGGGAATCATCCATTAGTCATTCTTTGAAAATTTACTAATTAAAAAAAAAAAAATTCAGACACCAAAAAAACTCTTTATGCCATCCACGTTTTCCCAGGAGAAGGGATCGACTGGACGCTGGGTTCCTGGGGAGCAGCCTTGTACATCCCAGGCTCCAAAATGCACGGCCCTAGATTCAAATCCCAGCTCTGCTGCTTGCAAGCTGTGCCACCTCCAGCATGTAACTTAACCTCTCTGTGCCTCAGTTTCCTTCTCTTTAAAATGATAGTGACAACAGCTTTTTCACAGGGCTGTAAGGATTGATGCCACAGAGAGCTCAGGATGTGGGAGCATTAACACGCCCTGCACATGCCCACCCCCTGCTCTACCAGCAGAAATTTCAGTGTCATCGTTGGGGGCCCAGTCGTGG